TGTGAAATCCCCACCGTGTCCCTGGGTGGGCACCTCCCAGGACCCTCCTCCTTGGACCTTCAAACCTTCTCCAGCGATCGCATGGTGGCGAGGTGAGACCCCTCCAAACCTTCCTCAGCTTTTCTCTCCCCCTTTCCCCTCCCGCGAGCCTCCGGGAGGGATCTGCGACGTGAAGTTTCCATTTGGAGCTGGCAAATTCCTGGTATGCCGATTTCTAGGAAACGTGGCTCGGGATCGTGTGCTTGGTGAAACCCTAGCATGTGTGATACCTGTCTGTCCTCAGCCCGGGGTCGACCATCTGCATCCCATTCCCCGCTCCCAATTTTCTCATATTTCTCTAGGCTGGAAGATAACAACATCCGCGCCGAGCAGGGATTGTAAAAATAAATGGGTTGTTTTTATGGGGTGGATTTCTGCGCAGCGCGGGCTGGTGTTGTACGGCGTGCATCCTCCCGGAGCAGCGGTTTTGGTGTCTCAAAGGCGTGTGTGGAGGGGAAAAGGGCTTCGAGATGCTCCCGTTGCAGGTCACAGCCATCTGGTTTGCCACGAGCGTGTGTCTGTGAGCCTGAAAAACACCCAGGGCTCGGAAATGAAGGTGAGGAAGACACCAGCCACTGCACAGCTTAAAAAGAGAGGGGAAAAAAAAGCCTTTTGTCGTAGCCGCTTTTAAAGAAAACGGACAAAACCAGCACAGAGTGTATTTTTCTGAAGCAGCAGCTGGATTAATGTCTGGTTGTACGGGGGTGCTGAAATCAGGGACAGAGCTGTGGCTTTGCCTGGCTGTGTTGGGTGCTCTGCCCGTGCACCCTGCGCCCGCTGCGGGTGGTTTAATTACTCATGGGCATCAACTGCAGCTTAATTGCTCGTGGGCACCCGTTGTGGCTTCGTTGCTCATGGGCATCGTTTGCTTGTGAGCATCAGTGATGCCGCTCTCCATCTGGAGAAGGGATAAATAATATTTACAACTGCTTATGCCAGGGTGCAGGACAGCGTTGGGGGAAGCAGCAGATTTTCAAGAAGGAAAGCTGCAGCTGTTGCTGCTTTTGAGGAATTCGAGGAGTTTATGTTCATTTATTGGGGTTGACAACAGTCGTACACCGGTGCTGTAGTTTGGGCTGTGCTGGTTTGGGTGAAGCACGCGTTGTGCACGTGTAGGAGTCTCCTGAGCTCCTTGTTTGCTCAGCTAGAGGCTGTTTTCGTGTACTTCGTATTAATTAACGCTGAAAGCGTTGCACTTGAAGGAGAGATTGTGTCCAGATGTCGCGACCTCTGGACTTTAAAGCTTGTTTATTATAGCTCTCAAATTACAGATTAAACGGCTACGCTGAATTTTTGGATCACCCGGTAGAGCAGGGACTGGTTAATAGCAAACAAGTGAAAACCCCAAACCTTTTCCCTTAGCAGTGAGTGATAACTTTGCCCTTTGGCAGGGCCTGAGGAGAGCGGAGGTGGCAGCTCCAAGTCCCCACGGCTGCGGGACAACCCCATGCCCAGCCACGATGGCCTGGGTGGTGACTGGAGACAAGGACCAGACCCCGGTGTTGGGCTTGGAGCTTGAGCAGAGAGGTTTTTTGGGGTTTATAGGCTCTTGTGAGGGGCTCTGCTTAGGAATGGGAAGAACCAAGCTGTGGAAAACGGCTCCAAGTTGAGCAAAACTGTCCTGTCATGTGTATACACCTTTCCTGGGGTGTGCTCTGGATTTTTTTACCCACCTTCCCATCTCTTTTAGTCTCAGTGCACGGAAATCCCTTCCCTCTCAGTGGCCTTTCAGTGGTGGAGCAGGACCCCCAAGCCAGGGGGGGATGTTCAACCCTTCTCCATCCTCTCCCCTGCACCCCAGGGAACCGAAGCAGTGGGGGTGTTGGGAGGACGAGGGGTGCTGTACCCTGGCTTCATTTCCAGACCTACAAAGTTCAGTTTGGGGTGTTCGAAACACCCAGAGGTTTTTGCACAGGGTAATTAATTAATGAAGCCCCTCCCTATATCCACAAAGAGAAGATTCAGGCTCTGACACCTCCAGCTCTTGGCGACGGTCCCCAGCTCCCTGATATTTAAATCTCAGGGAGTAACAGATTTCTTTTTTGCCCCTACAACTCTTTGTTTCCCATTAATTGGGATTTTGGTCCCCAGCCAACCTCCTCCTGTCGCTCCAAGCCAGAGATAAGCGGGAGCGGCGCAGTCTTTTCTCTAACCTAGTTGGAGCCGTTTTCTCTGGACGGAGGAGCCTCGAGCTCTTTCATAACATGGACCACATCTTAATAACCGGTCTTGTGGGCTCTATCCCTCCCACTGCTGCTGACGCAGAGCGTCTCCCCTCCCGCTCGCCTTGGCCAGCTTCCCTGGATGACTCCACTAATTGCTTACGAAGAAAAAATAATGAGAAGGATGCGTATGATGTATTTTTAGATGTCTCTTGGTGGGATTTAGCAATCGGCGAGCCGGAGCCAGCAACTCCCCATCTGTCTCTTCTGCATCCCAGCAGTGGCTGCTTGGTGTTGTGGACCTCGGGAGGTTCTGCACTGGGAGGTGGCACTTCTTTTGCAAGCTGCTCCCCTTTTTGGGCTCCTCCTGGTCCTTAATAAATCACAGAATCACAGAATCACAGAACGTTAGGGACTGGAAGGGACCTCCAAAGCTCACCCAGTCCAATCCCCCTGCCGGAGCAGGAACACCCAGATGAGGTTACACAGGAAGGCGTCCAGGCGGGTTTTGAATGTCTGCAGAGAAGGAGACTCCACAACCTCTCTGGGCAGCCTGGGCCAGGGCTCTGTCACCCTCACTGAGAAGAAGTTTCTTCTCCAATTGAAGTGGAACCTCCTGTGTTCCAGTTTGTGTCCGTTACCCCTTGTCCTATCATTGTTTGTCACCGAGAAGAGCCTGGCTCCATCCTCGTGACACTCACCCTTTAAATATTTCTAAACATGAATGAGGTCTCCCCTCAGTCTCCTCTTCTGCAAACTAAAGAGCCCCAGCTCCCTCAGCCGCTCCTCAGAAGGGAGATGCTCCACTCCCTTGATCATCTTTGTAGCCCTACGCTGGACTCTCTCCAGCAGTTAATAAATGGGTTATGGATGCTGCATCCCTGGTGCTGCATGGTGCTGGTGACATGCCCCTGTCTGATGGGTATCACCACCTCCTCGCTCGTCTCCAAGAGGATGGCCGTGGTGGTGGCAGGGCAGTGTGGTCCATGGTGGCATGGAGACCATCTCAGCGCCCGAATCATAGAGTATTTTGGGTTGAAAGAGAACTTCAAAGGTCATCCAGTCCACTCCCCTTGCAATAAGCATGGACATCTTCAACTCCGTGAGGTTGCTCCAAGCCCCATCCAACCTGACCTTGAATATCTCCAGGGATGGGGCATCAACCGCTGCTCCAGTGCCTCCACACCCTCATCGTAAAGAATTTCTTCCAAAGTAACCGATGGCATGTTTTCTGATGTATAAATACCCACGAGATGATGAGTTTCACCACCAAAGTTGCTTTTTATTAGCGTTTTTTTAGATGTTCCCATCAGCAGAGCAGGGGAAAGGGAGCGGATGCCAAATCTCATTAAATATTACCCCCAAGACTGTGATAATTGAGCATTGCAGCAAGTAGTTTCCTTATTTTTCACTTTGCTTCTTCCATTGCAGGGCTCTTTGTGTCTCGGTGGCTTCCTGTGCCGTTGGGGCCGGGCTCCAGCTCTTCCCTTTCCACCCGGGTGCGAGAAGCGCAACTCTTCTCGCACTGTGCCTTATCTCCCCTTGGAGCTGAAAACATCCTTTCTTTGCTCTTTTTTGAATCCCCCGAATGAAAGATTCCCCCTCCTGGTTAACGTCAGCTTCCACACCAAAGCCTGTGGGAAAGTTTCGCAATTAAAGGGACTTTAATAGATCTGGTTTATGTCTTAAAAAACCCCTTGCTTTCTAATTCTCCGTCACATGTTTCCTTGATTACGTGTCGCCCAGCAGTGCGGCTACCGAAATAGCCTTACGGTCTGAAGGAAATCATCAGGAAATGTGTTTTTTAAACCGTAAGCAATTCTCTTTTTCACCAGGCACTACTGGAAAGTCTGCGTTTGACGAAAAACGTGGCTTTTCTGGCACTCGGCTGCTCGTGCAGTGACGTTGGGAGCGTGGTGCTCCAGCCGTTTGCTCAAAAACCCCCTCAACTTCTTAGAGTCTTGCTGTGATTTTTCTCTTTATCCACCCAAATAGTTGGGATTCCTTTGCTGTTGGGTTTGCTTTAGTTTTTAGAGAAGATGCTTGCTGTGTGTTCAGGTCTTTCCGTGCAGGGCGATGCTTTGCTTTGCCTGAGCCTTGGAGCTTGGTCTCAATTTTTGGGGTGTTCTTGGTGAGGAAGAGAAAGGGAGGTGTGCCTGGGGTTGAGGTGCTGCTTTCTGAATAACAGAGTCTCTGACAAATTCCTTGTGGAAAATAACCTTGTAAATTAACTCAGATGGCAAATGCGAGCCTGGTGAACTTATTTCTAACACCCATACGCAAGAGGTGCCCGCCTTGACATGAGCATGAAGGGCTGGGTGAAGCTTGGCGGCCACCAGCCCTTTGCTTCTTGCCCATGAGCACTTTCATCTCTCCTTGCTTTGCTGCTTCCCTCGATGTCTACTGGTGCTTCACGTCTGCATTACCTGGTGGTGCTTTTTTGGGTAAAACCCTTGCTGGGGGAGCCTCCCAGGGCAACGCTGCCCCAGGGATGGAGGTGAAGGCTGGGGTCTCCATGAGCATCCCTGTCGCTGTGGCCAACCAAAGCCGTGGGGCCGTCCCCTGTCCCCAGGCATTGAGGACAGCTGGTGTTGCACACCAGGGTTTCCTGCGCCCTGTGGTTCAACAGAGCCGGGGTGGCCCCAGGGACGGATTTTCCGCTCTGCACACTCAAGATGTGCTTGAAGCTTCCTGCCCAGGCCAGCGGCAGAGACCGCTGCTCGTTTTCTTTAACCCTTTCCTCTTCCACCGCCTCCCGTGGCCCTGACGGGGCGCTCTCTGTGTCTCCACAGGTCCATGCCAGGAGACCATGACCACTGATGAGGCCACCAAGAGCGAGGGCGAGGTGCAGGCAGCGGCTCTCGCCGAGCGGGGGGAGGACATCACACCAGCTCAAGACCGAGGGGTCCTGAAGGTGAGGGGGGGCTGCCACGAGGGTCTTGCCTTTTTTGGGGTCATGGGGCTGTAGGAACTGACTTTTATTTGAAATGGAAAGGCGAAGGAGATGATTATCCCCTGGAATAAAGAAGGATGGGGTGGTGTTTGGGACTGATGGGTTCAGGCTGCTCGATGAATTTCGCTGCTATTGTGTTCCTAATCAGATTATTAGCTGTAAAATCCGCAAAGCATTTTTGTGTGTGACTCAGAGACGTTAGAAAGAGCGTGTTACTGAGGTCATCCAGCCTGATCCACAGCCCCTTCTTCACATGCAGGGCCCTTTCTGGATAGTTCTGCTCCCCGGCGCTTGCTCTTCTCCAGTTGAATAGGACCTTTCCTCTAAGAATAGCATCCTCCCCTGCTCCATCCTCAGCTCGGGAACTGCTTGTTCCAGGCTGTAGCATTCAAAAAAGAAAAAAAAAAGAAAGAAGTGTTGACAAGAAGCGAGTAGTGAAATGACACACCCCTGCGAGTAAAGTGTGTACGGGCTGAAAGCGAACGTAATTGCCTTTGCTTCAGGTTTCGAGCCGCGGTGTTTATCCAGACACCTCCGCAAAGGACGGGCAGGTCTCTGCTCCCAGCCCTGGCCCGCTCCGTCGCCGTGGCTCCGCTTTGGGGTTTATTTTTAGGGGCTGATGGGAGGACAAATTGAATGACTCCCCCTTGAGCCTTCTTTTGGGTTTGAGCAGCACTGGGCTGTTAATGCATATGTGTATATATTTTTATTTATATATATATATCTCTGCATGTGTGTATATATTTATATACATATGCTTGTGTGTATATACTTACATACATATGCATGCATGTATATACTTACATATGCATGCATGTATATGCGTATCTTTATATATATGCATGTGTAGATATATTTATATATGCATGTATATACATATTTTTATATATATGCATATGTTTATATATATTTTTGTATATATGCATGCGTGTGTGTGTGTATATCTATATATATATCTATGTATCTCTCCATATGCATCCGTAGCTGTCCCATGGCCTCCTTTCTCATGGGTGATTTCTCTCCCTCAGATCATTAAGCGACCCGGCAGCGAAGATGAGACCCCCATGATAGGGGACAAGGTTTACGTCCACTACAAAGGCAAACTGGCCAACGGCAAAAAATTCGACTCCAGCCGCGATCGCAATGAACCCTTTGTCTTCAGCCTGGGCAAGGGTGAGCCGGTCCGGGGGGTCCATCCATGGGGATGCTCAAGGGTGGGGTGCTCCTGAATGGGATGGGATGGTCCTGGAGGGATGGGATGCCCTGCTTTAAGTGGCTTCTCACCATTTTGTTGGGGGTGTCATTCTTACAGCACCCAGGCTGGGTGTTTTCTGCGCTGCCTGACATCTCCCTCTCTCCCAGGCCAGGTAATCAAAGCGTGGGACATCGGGGTTGCTACCATGAGGAAAGGAGAGATCTGCTACTTGCTCTGTAAACCCGAGTACGCCTACGGCTCCGCTGGCAGCGCCCCCAAAATCCCCTCCAACGCCACCCTCTTTTTCGAGGCAAGTCACGCCGGCCAGCCTGCGCGTGGATGAGCTCGCTCGCTCCCTCTCTGCCCTGCCAGCCAGCTCAGAAATTAAAAAAACCCAGCCCAAAAACAACAGAAAAACCAGCTTGGATTCCTGAAACGTGTCCCTCGGCTCCAGGAACCGCTGCCAGGGTTTTCTCAGAAATTGTGTCTGAGCTGGAGAGGCTGGGACTGAAACTCTGTCTGGGGAGAGCCCCAGTGCCGGGGGGTGGAGCGGGCAGATTCCTGGTTTAAAAATGCACTTGGGAAGGAGGAAGCGGCTGAGAAATGCCTCCGGGTGCTAAAAACCCATTAGTGCCGTGGGGCAGCAGGAAAGCCAAGGTTTTGGCGTGGTGTCCTCGCTGGGCAGGGCTCGCTGGGACAAGGCAGTGGGGTGGGAGGAATGGATCTGTCCTAAATTAAGGCTTAGTCCATCCAAATCGAGCGGTGACTAAGCCGTGGGTCAGAGCTGGTCCCATCGGAGAACGAAGGGGAAACTCCTGCCCACGCTGGTCCCAGGCAGCTTTCACAGCATCTCCCAGCACCGGCCGTGTTGTGCCCTTAAGGGCTTAATAAACTTATTTTTGCTGTTACTTTGTGTTATGCTTCAGGTACTGGATGTGTCCCAATTTCTAATAAATCGGGTGTATTATGCTGTGGCTTGGAGCTAGCTTTTATGGGCAACTTCTGCTCGTCAGCTGAATGGAGAATTAGCTGGCTTGGCTCTGCAGCCGGAGGATGAACTGCTGCTTTGTGGCTTCTCTGTTGTTTTTCTCCTCTCCTTCCCCACCTCCCTGAGCTCTGCCCACCTTGTCTTCATTATTTTCGTTCTGTTTGTTTTGTAGGTTGAGCTGCTCGACTTCAAAGGCGAGGACTTGTTTGAGGACGGAGGGATAATCCGGAGGATCAAGAGGAAGGGAGAAGGTTACTCCAACCCTAACGAAGGTGCCACGGTGGAAAGTGAGTGGTGGTCCCTTCATGGGAGGGGCCTGGAGGGGTCAACTTGCCCCAGCACAGCCCCGCTTTCTTCTCCCAAGCAAGGAGGAGCTGGCGCTGGTTGTAGGTGGCCGTGCATCGTGCTGGGATGCATTTACACCCATCCTTAGGCTGGATGGGATGGAGAGGGGCTCTCTGCCCGGGGATGCTGCTCCAGGGTTTGTTTTGTCCTTCCCAAGAACCACTCGGCCCCAGACACAGCTCACATCGTACGGGAGGCATTTAATTTCTCCTTTTCAGAGCTCCCGTATGAGAAGATTAACTCCCTTTAGCGAAGGAGAAATTGGATCCGAGCTGTGACAGCTCATAAAGCTCAGCGCCTCGAACTTCTAACGAGGCTTCTTTTTAAGGAAAAATGAGTTTTTGACTCAGACTCAACTGTCTGCCTCTCCCGCAGCGAGCATCATAGCTGGGGACCAGCCATGAGCCGAGCTTCAAGCTGGCTCTGCTACCCCAAAGGTTAAACTAAAAGACTAAATATAATTGAAATCAGCACCGATCCAGCTTTCCTCTTGATTTGATGAGGTCTGAGGGCGTTAGAGGCAGCACCGTGCCCAGTGTGGAGGATGAGGAGAGCCCTGGTCCCTCTGTGGCTGTTCCCTTTGCAGCTCGAGGTTTTCTTGAGCGTGAGGATGCTTTGATGGCTCAGGAGGGGGCTGAGGCAGGGCTAGGGGAGGCACCAGCCAGGAATTATCTCTGTGGAAAGACTTAAGGAGCCAAATAATGCGGCTTTTCGTGGGCCTGATGTGTCCCCAAAGCCTGCTGTTGCTTTATCCGTGTCAAACAAAAACGGCCGTCAGAGCAAACGCTGCAAGCGTGAGCACACGCGTGGTCAGAATAATGGAGATTAATGCCCTCCGAGGCAGCCTTGCGTAACCAGCGCTGCTTGCAGGGCAGAGATGGGGAACACGGCGCTGATCCGGCCTCAGCCACCCATTCCTGGGGCGTTTCATTCATTTTAACCTCTGCCACCCTATACATCCAGGGGCCAGAGACCCTTAAATATGTCCCTGTGAGAGAGGATGAGGAGAAGCAGCACTGGGCAGCCTTGCAGTGAGCGTTTTGGGTGCAAATAGACTTTGTATTTTATTTATTTTATTATTTTTTTCTAACAAATGCAGTGATTTTTATGGTGGGCACTGTGCTGGGCATGGAGTGGCTCTGGGGACACCATGGCAGACCTGGGGACACCGTAGCAGCCCGCCCCAGGACAAGGCTGTGACCCCGGGGATCAGCCTCTTATTTGGGTTGTTCATCACCGCTGGAATTAGGCTGGAAGAACCCACGCTTCCAGCAGTGAGCATCTCCAACCCGGGGTGTTTGAAAGCGTTTTTATAGGTTTTTAACTTTTACAGAGCCGAATTCGCAGTTCCGGTCCCTAAAACCCAGGCTGCAGGCAAAATCTGGCATTCCAGTTTTTGTTACAACCTTTCCCCCAACCCCTCCTCCTCCTCCGTTTTTAATCTGAGTACAAATTGCTGTCAGCACATCAAGTTCGTGTGCCAGCCGCACTCGGTACACTCTGTTCTCAGCTCTTCAAAAACAAAATCGCTGCAGGCACCGAGAGAACAATAAGTCAGGGCTGCAACCGGAGTGATGTTCCTTCGACGGCTTGTTTTTTTTTCTCTTTCCTTGTAATCCAAGAGCGACTGCAGCCAGCTGACCTGCTCCTGGAAACCCGAGCGGAGACTTTTCCCCCCTCCCCTTTGCCCGCTGTGTTTTACGTGCGATGAAAATAGAGCGGAGCGATCCCCGAAGGGAAGGAGCGCAGCATCCTCCCTCGTGTCCTGCTTTCAAGTGGGGTCTTCCCGTCTCTGCTGCTGGGGATGGGGGCGGGGGGAGACCTGGGAGAGCTGTGGTGCTGCTTTTGGGGTTGGGGATTATGGTACTCGATGGGAACACGCAGGGAGGTGGCGTGGTGCTGTAGTTTAGGCTGAATTTTCTGCTTTCCTATGGTTAAGAAAGTAACCAGCTGAGGTTTGGGTGGTGCAAAGGCACCGGAGGAGCTGGATTTGTGCTTTTATTCTTATCCCAAGCCAGGTCAGCACACAGCAGCCTGAGCCTCGTGGCCGCTGCGCACCAGCAATGGATGCAGGATGTGTCCTGGGATACGGGCAAGCACCTGAGCATCCTCCACTCTGAGTCCCAGCCTGGCTTTGGTGGCAGGAGGGGGTGACAGGGCAGAGCTTGGTGTCCCATCCAACAGATGGGGCTGTGCCTGCGGTCCTGCTTGGTCCGTGCGTCTCAGCCCGGGCATTTTCCATAGGTCCCAGGGCAGGGAATTGTCCATGGGGCAGGGACGGGGAGGTTTCCTTCAGCCCAGGCTGCAGCAATCCCCTACAGAGCCTGGACCCTCTCAGCTGGGTTCTGCACGGTGTCTGCTTGCACTCACATCCATCACCCAGGCTGAGATGCTGGGTGCCCTGCAGTAGCTGGGGTCCTATCCTGCAGCTCCATGTGGTGCTGGAGGGACTCTGAGAGCAGCCCCTGGCCCCCAACGTTGTTTTCTTCCCCCCCTTTCCCCTTCAGCAGCGCTTGCACGGGCAGTGTTTCCTCTCTAGCAAAGGTAAAGCTCGTGTCCTTCCAGGCTGCAAAGCCCTTAAGCACAGTTTGTGGTGCCTGCCGTGATTTTTTCCTCTTAAAAGCTTTGTTTTCTGTTTATTTTGGCTTTTCTATTTAACGGTACATAGGAGCACCTTATGAAATTGCTTTTATTTTATACCTCCCCGCGTGGGTATGCTTTGTACCCTGCAAAGAACAGAAAACCGTCCCCAAAGCCCGAAACGTCTTCAGGATCCAATAAATACAGAATAATCTTGCTGTGGAAACCCAGCCAGGAGTGCCAGGTGGTGAATGTGCCAGGTACCCGCTGTCCGCTCCGGCTGCGCTTCTGCCAGCGTCTGGGGCTGGGGAACGGCACGGTTATTGGTTGGAGATTAAAAAAAATAAAGAACGATAAATAATGTTGATCTTGTACTCGGAGTTCTTAGAGGCAGGGGAACGTGGCCTTGTTGTCGGGGTGGAAGGCAAGGCGGTATAGTGCCGTATAGGAGATTTGTAAGCGCCGTGATAAACTCCGCGTGGCGCTGGGCCAGGAGCAAGATCCAGTTCCAGTAAGGCTTGACTCGTGCAGTGGAGTGCGAGGGGAACATATTAGTCATGATGTTTATCTGTTGTCTGGTCCTTGGGTAGATGAGATATGCCTGTCCTTGCTTTTCGACAGCGTTTCCAAGCCCTCCCCATCCCCTCTCTGCTCACCAGGGGCTCCTTGGCTGCCCCCAGGCCGTGTCTTCCCCCTTCCAGGGCTGGAGGCTTTGCTGGATTTTGGGAGCTGTGCTTTCAAAGATGCTTATAAGATGCTTTATAAGGTGCTTTCTTTGGAGCCCACCATTTTGGGTGGCTCTGGGTGCAATCCTACCCCTTTCCCTCTCTCCTCCTGCAGTTCACCTGGAGGGATTCTGTGGTGGCACCAGGTTTGACTGCAAAGATGTGAAGTTCGTGGTGGGCGAAGGCGAGGACCATGACATCCCCATCGGCATCGACAAAGCCCTGGAGAAGATGCAGAGGGGAGAGCAGTGCATCCTCTACCTCGGGCCGCGGTAAGGAGCATCCTCACAGCAATGCTGTCTGGTTTTGAGCTTCCAGCATCCGAGGTGGTTTTAGCACTGGGGGAAGACGGCGATCCCAAAAATGGGGCTCTTCAGGGGAGCAATGCCACAGGGATGGCAAGAGCGACTGGTGAGGTGTGGTCAGGAATCTTGAAATGCTTTAAAAATCAGGTAAACAGGTAAAAATCAGGTAAAATCCAAGCCCTGTGGCTGAAAGGGAAACGTCTCCCCTGAAATCCCCAGGGCTGGGTCCTCACACTGGAGAGAAACCGGTATAAAAAGAGATCTGGTGCACGCAGAGAGGATGATTCCTGGTATATAACGCGTTGTATGTTATCAGATATCTTTGCTTATGGAGAATAACATCACCCTGGCCCCAAAATGTTTGAAAGGTGCGGGCACGGAGCTGGGTGTGAGACCAGAATTAGGAACCTGGGTCTGTGTTTATGGCCAAACGCTGCTAAAATGAAGACTCCTTTTTTTCCCTCCCTTTCAGGTACGGCTTTGGCGAGGCGGGGAAGCCGAAATACGGCATCCAGGCGAACGCAGAGCTGGTGTACGAGGTGACGCTGAAGAGCTTCGAGAAGGTGAGGGCAGGAGCACGCGGGTCCCTCCCGGGTTACGGGAACACCGTCCCTCTGCCGCGGCCACCCCTTGTCCCTGGCGTGGCCACAGCCCGGCCCCAGCTGAAGTGGATGCGTCACCACGGATCTCGGTGTTCTTCGCTTGTTCTTCTCTGGTGCTTTGTTTTATTTTTCTGGCCGGGCTCCAAGGCTGGTTCTTACTTGTTCCTGACCTTGTGCCTTTTGTACTTTCTTTCTTTTTTTTTTTCCCTTGTATTTATTTTCCTTTGTGTTTATTTTCCTGTTTTCCCCTTGTCCTTTTTTTTAATTTTCTTTTTTTTAATTTTCCTTTTTTAATTTTCCTTTCTTTAATTTTCCCTTTTCCTTTTTAGTTTTCCCTTTTCCTTTTTAATTTTTCTTTTTCCTTTTTAATTTTCCTTTTCCTTTTCCTTTTTCCTTTTTTTATTTTCCTTTTTTTATTTTCCTTTTTTTATTTTCCTTTTTTTATTTTCCTTTTTTTAATTTCCTTTTTTTAATTTCCTTTTTTAATTTAATTTCCTGTTTTTAAATTTCCTTTTTTTAATTTCCTTTTTCCTTTTTTAAATTTTCCTTTTTCCTTTTAAAAAATTTTCTTTATTTTTCCTTTTTTAAATTTTTCCTGTTATTTTTTCCTGTTTTTTAAATTTTCCTTTAATTTTTTATCCCTATCCTCAGGGCAGGTTTTAGTGGACAAACCACCTCGCTCGGGGTGAGGTCCCAAACCTGGCAGGGGTTTCTCTGTTGCAAAGGGCTCCAGCTCTGCACCTCCACATGTGCTCTGGGTGTCTCCTCATCCCCAGCCCCTCCAATTAAAAAGCTGATGAGCCCCGCTCGTTAACGAGCAATCCTAGAGAGCATTAACGAGCAATCCTAGAGAGTGGGTGCTGTGCTCTGCTGGCATCGCTCCGGGCGTTTCTTTTGCAGGCCAAGGAGTCGTGGGAGATGGACACCAAGGAGAAGCTGGAGCAGGCGGCTGTGGTCAAGGAGAAAGGCACCATGTACTTCAAGGTCTGTAAATTTGGTGATGGCGGAGCAAGGGAGATGGAAATAAACTTGGGGTGACCATCAGATACACAACTTGGAAGTCATCAGTGTCAGAGGAGCCAACTTGGCTTTTCATGGGGGCTGCACACAGCAGCTCCAGCCAAGCCCCAGTGTGGTTTTAGGTATTCAGCATCCTCCTTCCTTCATTTATTTATTTAATGCGCCACATCAAAACCCCTGACCTGTTTGCAGCCTGGTTTGGGAGTGTTTTGGCACGGGTTTCTCAAACCTCTTCTTATTTTCTCCATCCCAGGAAGGCAAATACCTGCAGGCAGTGATTCAGTACGGGAAGATCGTGTCCTGGCTGGAAATGGAGTACGGTTTGTCGGAAAAAGAGTCCAAAGCTTCCAACTCCTTCCTGCTGGCCGCCTTCCTCAACCTGGCCATGTGCTACCTGAAGCTGCGAGAGTACGCCAAAGCCGTCGAGTGCTGCGATAAGGTAGAGCTGCACGAGCCCAGGGGTTGGAGCATCCTCTCCTCATCCATATTTTCACTGGGAATTTTTGGGTTTTTTAGATTTCTTTTTGTATAAGAAGCAATTTCCAAGCAGCATTGGGATGGGGTCATCACTTCTGCACCTCGAGGTCTCTGTGCATGTTGCTTGCTTGGAGATTGCAGGAGCAGAAGTGCCTTTTGGGACTCAAAATCCACCATGGGCATGCACTTACAACAGCTTTTCTTGCAAAGCTGGCTCCACGTGAATGGATGCTGCATGGACCAGCAGCCTTAGGATGCTGTTTGGGTCTATCCAGGCGTTGGGTGCTGGTCTGGGGATGATGGAGGCAGTTGCTGCTGGAGCTGTAGCACATCTCCAAGTCCATTGAAGGGTGGGATGGGACTTTGCTGATCCCTAAAAGAGCCACAACCTTGTCTTGGTCAGGAAACTATTAATTCTTTGATAAAAGGCTTAAATTTAAGCATCATGCATATGGGAAAGATAGCAAAGCTGGTTGTCTTAATCTAAAAGGTAAATCCTGTCTAAGATGTGTATGTGGCTTGTAGTAAAGGGAAATAATGTCACTGGTAAAGCAGGGAGACAAAACCACATTTAATCCATCAGCTCCCTTGTCTCTGAGCTCTCTCTGCTCCTCTGGGATCAAGTTGAGCATTTACACCTGATTTCTTATCTGTGGGTTTGGCTCCCTCTGCCATTCTTAAAGGGATTTTAAGCAAGGAGAAATAACAAAACCATATTAATGACCTGATGGAGACAGGTCCATTTTTGTTGAGCAAGATCACAGAATCACAGAATCGCTTGGTTGGAAAAGCCCTCTGAGATCATCACGTCCAACCGTTCCTGTCTACCCCCTAAACCATATCCCTAAGTACCTCGTCTACCCGCTCCTTAAACACATCCAGGGATGGTGACTCCACCACCTCCCTGGGCAGCCTGTGCCAGCTTCTGACGACCCTCTCAGGAAAGAACTTCTTCCTTATCTCTGACCTGAACCTCCCTTGGCACAGCTTGGTGCCGTTTCCCCTTGTTCTATCCCCATCACCTGGGAGAAGAGCCCAGCACCCACCTCTCTCCAAGCTCCCTTGAGGCAGTTGTAGGTGGTGATGAGGTCTCCCCTCAGCCTTCTCTTCTCCAGGCTAAACAAGCCCAGTTCCCTCAGCCGCTCCTCATCAGGCTTGTTCTCCAGAGCCCTCCCCATCCTTGTGGCTCTGCTCTGAACACGCTCCAGAATCTCCACATCCTTCTTCTAGTGAGGGGCCCAGAACTGAACACAGCACTCAAGGTGCAGCCTCACCAGTGCCAAGCACAGGGGGATGATCACCTCCCTGGACCTGCTGGTCACTGTTTTTAATACAGGCCAAGTATGCAAGTGCTCTGGAGACTTGTCCTAATTTTGGCAGATTTAATGAGGCTTCGATTGTAAGGGGGTCTTCAGGGTATCCCTGAGTTGCTAAGGGGGACCTGTGTGTTTGCAGGCGCTGGGACTGGACCAGGACAACGAGAAGGGCTTGTACCGGAGGGGCGAAGCCAGGTTATTGATGAACGAGTTTGAGCTGGCAAAATGTGACTTTCAAAAAGTGCTGGAAGTGAATCCGCAGAACAAAGCGGCCAAATCCCAGATCTCCGTCTGCCAGAAGAAAACGAAGGAGCACAACGAGCGGGACCGGAAGATCTATGCCAACATGTTCACAAAGTTTGCGGAGAGGGATGCAAAGGTGTGTGTTCCCCTTTTTTGGCCAGCTAGCAAGCTGTGCTGAAGGATGCTCGGCAGGTTTGTGGTGAGGAGAGATGGGTTAAAACCAGTTAAATTATAGATCAGGTTGAGGATGGAGGGATAGACTGGGGAGAAGTGGTTTATTCCTTGGTCTCTCTTACACAGACACTGCCATCAGGTGCTCGGTCATCGGTAAAAGTATTTGCAGTGTGAGCTCCTGAGGGCTGATAACAGGGCTGGCATTTGTTCTTAATTTTGCTGTTCCCAGCTTGTGGCTGTCGGTGACCTCCTGGTCACCGGTAAAATGAAATGTCATCCAGGCTCTGGCAAGGCCAAGGGTATTTTGAGACATGATAGGATGGATTTCCTGAACCTGGTAAGGCAATAGCCTGCTCCTCCGCTTGGACGGGGAGATCGCTGTCTCGTAACAGGCTCTGATCCAAAATTCCTCTGAACAAAACCTGCTGTCCTGTAACGGGAGAGGACACAGCTTTGGAAACCGTCCGTGCGGGTCATTTTTAGTACGAGCCCTTCTGAACCAGTGCCTGGAGGTTGAGGCTGTGGCCAGCGGAGACCCTAGGGACCAGTGTGCAGGGGTAACTGGTTTGGGACAGGGAGTGGAGCCACTCTGATGGCTGCTGGCACCGCGGTGCATTGACGGATGGGACAGGGAGAGTCACTGCTGGGGCAGGCGTGGGGCTTTGCCACACCTCAGAGCTGCTCTGCTGCACCTGTGGCTCGGTCCTGAATCTCCTCATCCCTGTCCTCTGTGCCCCTCATCCCTGTCCTCTGTGCCCCTCATCCCTCTCCTCTGTGCCCCTCATCCCTCTCCTCTGTGCCCCTCATCCCTCTCCTCTGTGCCCCTCATCCCTCCATTCAGGCTTGCTCAGTGTCACTGCCCTGCTCCAGGTGGGTCACATCATTCCCAGGGATTCCCATATTTCCCTCAAAATCTCACTGAGCTGTTAAGTTTTAACCCAAGCCAAGAAAACAGGAGCCATCTGCAATGGTCCATAAGCAGAAGGGAGCCACAGGGGGATTTTTCCCTTCCCTGCCAGGCTTGGTTGCCTGTGCCCATCCCCAGCATCACCATCACCCACTTGCTGCTTCCTCCTCACTCCTTTCTACCTCCATGTGCTTAATTTTCTGTTTGTTTTGGGTTTTTTTGCAGGAAGCAGCTAGCAAAACCGGGGTCGAAAAAGCAGCAGAGAAAGCAGCTTGTGAAAAGGGACCGAAAACTCCCGGCGCTGAAGAGGAAGAGGCCGAAGGACACGTATGATAGAGGAGGAGGGGAAGGGAGAGCCTCCTGCCCTCGGCCCCTGCAGAAAAAGGTTACTCGGGACTCGCCAGTGTTTTCTTGTAAAGCTTGTTTTACAGTTTGTGTGATCGTGGAAGCAAAAAGCGTCTCGCAAAGAATAAAACGACCCCCGTCCCGCCGCCCTGGGCGCACTTGGGAGCGGAGCGGGAGCGGTGGGACGCCGTGGGACCACCGCCCGTGGAACAAATAGCTTTTAACCGGAGAGAAAGAGAGAAAGCAAACAATAAATATACATTGAAACTCTTGGCTCTTGGGAGGTTTCCGTAGGCAGCTCGTCCCGGCTCTCTTGGCTTCGTGTCGGCTGTCGGCGCAGCATCCCGGGCCCATTGCCGTGAGTTGGGATGTGGGAGATGGCTCCTGGTACCCGGCACCGGGGCCAGCCCCGAGCGCTGGAGCCCAGGGTACCCAGAGCACCCAGCGCCTCCCTCACCCATGGGTGCTCGCTGGTTTTGCGGGGCAAAATCTGGTTTTCTCTCCTGGTGGCCAAAGGGGTCGCGATGCAGCGCCAGGGATGAGGGATGAAGCCTCCTCCATCGCCTCGGCTGCAGCCCCGCGGTGCAGGGGTGTAATTTGCCTTTAAAGCACTGGTTTTTTGGGGGGGTAATTTTCTCTTTGGAAGCAGCTGCTTTCTATTTCCTTGGAGAGCCAAAGCCTCCCGTCCAGCTCCTCTGCTGCAGGCGCTCGATCCGCGGCCTACACCCATCCCTCGGATCCCATCTTTCAAAGGGAGTTTTAGTGCTTATTTTGGGTCCAGATGGGAGAAAAAAAAAAGCAAGTTGATGTGTTGTGGGTCAGAAAGCAAAAGAGACCAGGGCTGAGCTGGTACCGAGGGTTTACAGCAGCTTTGTCACCATTACGAGGGGGTTCCTGGTGTCCCTGTGCTGCTGCCCCCTCCTCGGCCATCGTCCCCCCCCCACATCCTAAAGGGACACTGTCACTATCGTGTGAGAACAGCTTTCTGGTGGTTATTTTTCCTGTCTGTTCTTTGTAATACCCCTTTTGGAGCTTGAAAATAAACAACTGAAAGCAAAAATATTATTAATAAAGTGCTTTTTCCTCTGGATCCTGCTCAGCAAAGGGGGTGGCCATGGGATGGATGGGGGTGCTCCCCCCCTGGGGGAGATGCCCTGGCTGCGGCGAGGGCTTCGTCAAGGAATTATTGGTGTCCCCAAGGGTGATGATGCCCCTTTTTGTCAGCACCATCATCGTTTATCAGCTCTCGGAGCCAGGATTGCATCCCAGTGGGTGCTGCAAGGGAGGGTGCTGCGAGACCCAGAGGATCTGCAAAAAATCGGCTTTTCTTATTAATACAAGCAAAAAAAAGTCATTTTGGGGCAGCCCAAGCCACACTTTCCATAGGAAGCAACCCTCTACATTCAAAAAAACACCAACTTGCTTTGCAGTTTCTGGGCTTTCCCCCTGGTTTTAAGCAGATTTTTGGGGCTTAATTCGATTTGGTGCTTTTGTAGAAGAGAAATGAAACCCTAAGATGCGGTTTAGAGATGAAAGGGGAAGGCGGGGGGAACCTTGGCGGTGCCGGTGCGCGGTGTTCAATTGCCCTCTAGTGGCACTGGGCAAATGGGAAATGGGGTGGCGGGGGGTTTGGGGTGTCTGATGGGGTCACTGGGAGCACTGGGCTCATCCGGCTTTGCCACCGGAGAGCATCCCCAAGCAGCTTTTGAGGGGAATTGTAACGTTTTAAGTAAAAAGTGCTGTTCAGGACGAGGCAAGGTGTGAAGTCGGTCACCTGAGGGGATGTGGGGACATGGGACGGGGTCTGTAGGGCCCCCGGAGCAGGGGATGCTGCCGTCTCCTGCACAGCTCCCACAAACCACCCCAAATCCCGCGTTTCTCTCCCCGAGATGACATTTTTGGGTGGAAAAAGGCACATCCGTGGAGGGAAACCCTAAAGGAGGTCGGGCCGCATCCCCCTGCCCATGTCAGGTGGTGCCACGGCCCCCACCCAGCGTGAGGGCAGCCGTGCACCCCCAAAAGGTGCCCGGGGTCCAACTGACCCCCTGTGCCCCCCTTTTCCTGGGATTACCGCCCTGCCAGCTGCTCTCCCGGCGGGCCTGGCCGGCAGCCCCTGAAATCCTATTACCGAGGTGCAGGAGAAATAAAAAGTTAAACAACTTCTTCGCCCGCTGTTTTTTGCTGGGACTGGGTGTTACTGGGAGCACTGGGAGCTGGGAGTGGGAGTTACTGGGAGGACTGGGAGCTGGGACTGAGTGTTATTGGGAGAACTGGGAGCCGGAACTGGGTGTTACTGGGAGCACTGGGAGCTGGGGTGGGGGGAGCAAATCCCACTGGGAACCATCGTCCCGGGACCTAATCCCACTGGGACCCGTCCTACGGGGACCCAGTCCCAGCGGGGGCGATGCCGCTTCAAACCGAGATCCTGCGTGAGGTCTGGGCTGCCGAGAGGTGAGTGCCGGCCTCTTTTCTCCCCTATTTCCAGTTTAATTGTGGTTTAATGAGCTGTTTGATCAGGTTTTTGCTCTGGGGGGGTTGGTGTGGTGATGCTGGTTGGGTTGTAGAGAAGAAATGTGTTCATTGGGGAGGGGTGTGCTCAAAAAGGTGTCCCCAAATTCACCTCATTGCTGTCACCCTCGGCCGTGGCAGAGCCCATCCAGGGCTCCCTGCTATGATGGCCTTTCCCCACCCCAAAAATTGAAGGGTCTCAGCCCTCACCCCTGTGTTTTCTGCACCCCACAGCCCCAGCGAGGAGCCGGGCAGCCCCCAGCAGCACAGGCCCAAGCAGGTGAGGAGAGAAAATCCTTCCCTCCCATCCCCAGTGCCATTGTCCCCGGCTGTGGTCTGTCCCCAAGGGCTGGGGACATCTGAGATCCCTAAACCCAGCACCACGCTGAGACCAAATTTGGGCTGGATGGGCTCCTCTGTTGGGGTGCTGCATCCCTAGGGAGGACATGAGGTTTTGGGGACCCCAACTTCAGAGTCTCCCCTACCCTTTTGTGCATCCTTCCAAACCCCCTCAACCATCACTTCAAAGCACCCCATGAGGTGGCCTCTCAGTTCCTAATTAAGGCTTTAATTAAGCCTCTCAGTTAAGCTGTGACTCACTTTCCCCAGCCTGTGACCCCAAAGGCTGGACCCCCCCCTCACCACATTTCGGCACAGCCCTGGGGTGCTGCCCGGCCTCTGAGGGGTCTCAGCACCGATTTCATCAACCACTTAATTCAATCAGCAGCCCCTCCCTGAACGCCTTCGTTAAGTAACGAAGCCAGGGGCTGTGTCCCCCCCCAGCTGCTTAAGGGATTAAAGGCTGCGAAGGAGCTTTTCGGTGTGAGCTGATGACACAGAAGAAGCCAGGTGGTTCCCAGCTCTGCCATGGGACCCCAAAACTTCCCCTCCCCAAATCTGCAGCACTGGGAACCACTTGGATTCCCCCCTCCTTCCAAAAACACCTTCACTTGCTGCATTAGGGCAGCTGGGGGGGACGAAGCCGCTGCGAGGGGGAAGGTGCTCTGTGGGGTGCTGGGAGCTGTGGCACAGCAGAGTTTGCTCCAGTCACTTTGTGAGGACCCCCAGCTGACCCCCATCCCCAAATATCCCAGCCCAGAGCTGCCCCACATGCTCTGTATTTGGTAAATCGGGGGTATTTATAGCCCTGGCTCACCGGGATTAGGTGTGCTGCTCCTAATCCCCACACTTCCCTGCTCTTGCTGACCTCCATCCCAGCTTGGCCCTACAGCACCTTGATGGGAGCCTTAATGGGAGTGAGAGGAGGTGCAGGTACAGAGCCAGACTACCTCCCCATCCCCATGTCCCTGTGTCCCCGTGTCCCCTGTCCCAGCTTGGATCCCCTGAGATGCCCCCTGGGACATGAGCCGGTGTCCGGGGTGGCTCCTGGATGGGGTCCCTATGGCACAGCGTGGCCCGTCCCTTGTCCCCATCACCAACACGTGTCCCTCTGTCCCAGCACTGATGCTCTCCCATCCATCTCTAACACCTCTTTCTGTTTTCCTCCCTCTGCCTTCCCTGGGGGGCTGCCCCATGGTAAGTCACTCATTTGAAGACATGAGTGTGGCCCTGGTCCCGAGCAGGGCTGGGGACGAGTGTTTTGGGAAGGGAGCTGGTGCTGTGTGAGCAAGGGTTGCCTTGCAAAGGGATTTAAGGCTGGTGCTATCTCCATAGCATGGACCATGGGGGCAGAAGGTGAAGAAGAAGCAGCAGGAGCCCATCCTGGAGCCTGAGGCCAAGCCCCGGCGGCTGCGGGTGAAGAAGGCAGGCGAGGAGGGGGCTGCAGAGGAGCCGCGTGCCCAGGGTAAGCACAGACATCCCCCAATGCCATGGGAATGGGGGGACACCCCAGTCCCCCCCACAACCCCATCCTGTGCCCATGGCGCTGTCCATCACGGAAATCTCTCAGGGGTGAAGAAGGTGAGGAAGAAGAAGGAGGAGAAGGGGGAAGAAGAGAGTGACAAGGACCCCTACACCAAACTTCCTCGGAAGAAGAAGGAGAGCCCGGTCCCCCGCCCTGGCGCTGCCAAGGGCCCCAAGAAGCAGCAAGGTTTGGGGGGCATCTACTCGTGGCACCTCATCCCTGCGTCCCAGCGGTGCCATTGATGGCCCCGGTGTCTGCAGGGGCTCGGCATGTCCCTGCGGGGGCTTTTTAGCCAAAACCCTGGGAGGAAAGGGGATGTAAGAGGGGACGTGCACATGTGGTGGGGTCGGGATGGGGGGGGACAAGGTCCCTGGGGATGTGGCAGATGGGGTGGGCAAAAAGACGGGGCTCATCCCCCCCTGCACCGCG